TACCCCCACATTTGAAACCAGTCGGCTTGACTTCGTCCTTGACATCAGAGAATTCATGCCCAAGAAAATTATTCGCATTTCCTTGACACTAAACGTGACGTGTTAAACTGATTGTGACTCACAAAAGTAGTGATTTGAGCGTCTGTCAACTGAAGGGAGGTGTCCATTCCCGTGAATACTCCTATGTTTATTTAAAGAGACCGACAGGAGAACCCTATCAGTTTCGACGAATACTTTGCGATGTGGTATTTATGACACTCACTAGTGCGAAAGCTTGATGCATACTGTGCGGACCAAGTCGTGCGTTACGCGCGTAAACGGACACTTTAGATTTATCAGTCGCTATGGGCAGATTATTTAAAAAAAGTGGGCATCGGTCTTTTAATTCACATCACCATAAACCTTAAAAATATATTGGTGTCCTTGACGACCTATTAATTAATGGCAATATTTGTCAATGCGAACTTCGGAGGCGGTAGTCTATCGGGGCAGTTAGGCACCTGATGTGCGTCCGAGTGCCCGTGTATATCCTGACGCAAAAAAGTAAAGCATTTAGACTCTAATTAAGCCCTGGATGCACCCGAATTAGGACTGGACATTGGGTAAACTTGGGTTTCATTCTCTCCTACTAACGGTTTCCATACTATCTTTGATTCTGACTTTTCCGGCCAAATTGCCATTAGTTTTTAATCGTTTATATTTTCGTTTTTTAAAATAACCAATTTTATTCACGATCACATCTAAACTCAAGTTTTGTTTATTTTTATCCTTGACTTTGTTTTTCCAATTAAGTAGCACCTTTTTTATTTGTTTTAGGTTGAGCGGTTCATTTTATTTCTATTCGCTGCGGCAAGTTGTTCGGGTAGTGTGGTCGTGTTTCTTACATACAAGTTGCGGTTATATACACTTATAACCTGATTTCATAGCTGTTCGCTGGTAGAAGAAAGTGTTTACACAACCTGCTTATTGTAGCTATTTACATTTTTAATTAGTTTAAAAATTCTAGGGCCTCCGTCTGTTGGGCTTAATTGTGCGATAAAAACTCAATACCTGGTTGTTGGATATTCATTTCTGACACGAGCACTTTTGTGTCTCATCAGAAATATGCCCAACAGCCAATTCATTTCTTAAGAATGTGAGTAGTTATTCAGTCTTGCTGTTGGACAGCAGAAGTGAGTGACTACTCCACGCAAGTATTATCTGTATTGCATGCTTATGTCTACATATATATGAACATACAGATGTATACACAACGCTGCACATGTGCTCACGTCGACGCAGAAATACAGTCGTTCACCCTCCTACCCTTTTACTTAAGGTTAACCTTAAGTAAAAGGTTATAATTATAACCTTATGTAAAATCAGTCTAGACGGATTTTGATGTTTTGTAAATCATATCAGCCTCATATTTTCACCTTTCTTGTTTCGGTTTTGTGTAAAGCTTGTACGAACGAGTTTTTTAGCCCGCCATCCACTTACGCCCGGTCTTATATTTTGTGTGAGTTTTTGCCTAAAGAAGCATTTTAAGCAATGACTATTGTAAACAGTTCCGGGATTGTATTTTACGCTGACAGTTAAAATGAATGCACTGTGCTGCCTATCATGGCTATAGCCATGATATCTCCTTATACTGTGAAACGGCTGTCACGTTATTGCTACCACTAAATTTGCCATTTTCGGTCACTGCACTAGAACACCTCATATGCAGGTCAAACAAAAAGTAGCCATTGCCAGTTGAGGCCATTAGATCGTTGAAGCGCCGCCATCCACGATCGCTGTAGTGAGGTAGGTAAAATAGGTATTAAGTCAGCTCAATAGCGACTTGGTCTATCGATTGACGAAGTCTATCAAGTTCACTCTGTGTGACCCCGGTTGTAAATATGCTTCGTAGGTTGTTATTAGCCTTCCTACTTCGCCGCCGCAGTTTGGCTTTACGATTCCTGGAGCAACAGTCAGAAGTCATAACAGAATACATATATCGATGTGCCCTTTCATCCCCACAAGCTGTTTTTCGGAAAACTGTCAGTTTTTACACAACATACACTATGCGATTAATTTTAATTGCCGTCTTTTATACTTATTTGTCCCATTTCTTGACCCGGGCTATTACTAGGTTAGTTTACAATTTTTGAAAAATCCATACATAATGTGTACCCTTAAACTTATGGTCAAAACCAACATACAGATATAACAGCCAATCAGGTTGCTGTAATCGAAGCCTCTTTGCACGCACTAGTCACTTTTATTCTGGTCATTGAGTTAGTTGTCGCATGTAATCGTTTTTGCAGGCTTCTTTAGTTTTTTAAGTTTCTGATGCAGCTATTGAGGCCTTTTATCTCCAATGTCTACTTATCATATTCGTCTCTCACCCTGATGTACTAAGGGCTAACACCGCCCTCTATTCTACTTTTTGTAGTACTGGGTCCAGTTTCGTATTTAACATCTTCTAAATTCTCTCTGTGCTAGATTTTCAAATACACGCCTCATTCTGCGCTTTTAGCTTCTTCACTTCTATCCACGAGTTTGCCTAGGGTTTTTCATTATCTCTTGGTCACAGTGGCTGGTTGGTTTACTGTCATTCTATCACCCGGAAATTTGCGTGCATTCTTCCCCTTCATTACGCAACCTCTTCTCTGACTCTCACATGATTTTTTTTCTCTAAGTCGGCTAAACAATATTATTCGTTGTATTTCCAGTGGGTACTCTATCGGAAATAAGGTTAAGGCAGTAGCCTTACGTTTGGACTTTTTGCCAATGACCTTTCCTTGTTGTTCTTACATTGGTTATTCGTTGGGAGTTTACACTATAAATCCTGGCTCTCCCCTTCGTCTCTCTTATGCATGTATCTTGTTCACCGCATACTACCTGGTGAACATCTAACTGTATTTGGTTACCCCGAGCCCACATTTAGGCCACCGCCGTCCTCGTTGTAAGATACTGCGTTCCAATTGAGAGAATTAATCTACGGTTCACTCTCTTAAAACACCCTTGAGTATTAGATTCCTTGTAAACGTTTGTAATAATGATAAAACGCTACGAATTTCTTTGCCTAAAGTGGTTTACAATTGTCTTGCTTCTTACAGTCTTTTATTATTTGCTTTAAAAAAGCATTTTTAGACATGAGAGACCTAAGCCCTCCGAATTCGTCGCCCAAGGTGCGAAAAATTTGCTGCATAGGTGCTGGTTATGTTGGTGGACCAACGTCAGCTGTGATCGCCCTTAAATGTCCCGAAATACAAGTCTTCGTCTGCGACTGTCACCAGAAGCGGATAGATGCGTGGAACACGGACGAGCTACCTCTGAAGGAGGTGAAAAAGCACATTTCACTGTCCTATGGCATATATTCATTCATACACGTATCCTGTTAGATAAACTGCACCGGTTTTCGTTAAGCCTATTTTGACTATTAATTTTAAGGTCGTGTCCTACATACGGGCCTTAACATTTTGTCACGACTGACATTGATTTATTTATCTACTTTTATCCTAAAAGCCTGGTCTCTTGGATGTCGTCAAACAGTGCCGTGGTAAGAACCTCCACTTTTCCACTGAAGTCGAACTACACGCAAGCGAGGCGGATCTCATCTTCGTATGCGTAAATACACCAACTAAAAAATATGGAATCGGAATGGTAGGTTGAAGGAACGAGGAATTCTTATCTCCGTTTTATCTTGGAAGTAGCTATAAGCATTTTATTCCCGAGTTTGGCCAGTACGTATCGGTATTCGAAACTTTCTAAGCCACTTCTGAATTTCCGAGTAATATGTTTAGACGATTTCTCTTTGTCAGTCATAATCTATCGTTTGCATTAGGTTGCCGTTTTCTCTTTGTGGGCTCCATTATACTGGCACCATAAGGGTTAGTCTAAAAATCCACGCACGTGTTTCGCTGCTTTTTCGCTGTTGCACTATTGCCGCAAAGACTTTGGGTCATCAGTGAGTGTTTTCTGGCATGTACTCTAAATTCGAAATTCGAGCTTTTTATCTCCTCTGAAATCAATGTGTTGACATGGAGTAAATCCTTCGGAATAGAGCTTTATAAATCCAGTTCAAAAGTTGATCTGAATATTTGAGGGGAATTTCACCTGCTTCCACAAGACAATCGTGTATTATTTGTAAACTGTCCACAGGCTGCTTATGGTATACACATGTTGCGTGGTCCATCCATTGTACTGAATGTTATGCGGTTGCCTCGTCGAAGCTAACGACTTTTGGCTTAAATATTTATGTTCATTTTCGAACAGAGCCTATAAAGCTTCATGCCTTAGGATGCTCTCCGAGTTAGGTTAATAAATTTTGGAGGAGATTAGAAAGTTGAAATTTAAGATCTGGAGTATATATCAGAGGGCGCTCGGAGAAAGCCGGGAACCCTCTGATTAGCCAAAACCCTCGCAACTGGGTCATACGGTGACCAAAAGTCGGCGAAACACGTGTGTTTGGGCTTTTAACTAATGCCCATGCTCCCAATTTGGTGGATCATGCGACATATGTATGCCACTGACTGCCTGTTGGCTGCTTATGAATACTGCGCGGTTGCCCCGCCCAAACGGATGAATGTCCAATCAAATATTCATCGAAAATTTCCAACTGAGCCATAAAGTTTCGTGTTTGAGAATGTGCTTCAAGTTTGCTCATATTTTTACAGTAGATTGGAAATCGGAAATTTCCATTTCGAAACCACAGTTTTTTTGCCTCTCCCCCTAGTATCCGTTTTTAATTTGTCTGCTTGTTTCCTTCTCCACACTTTAAGTTTTGATTCAAAATGCTTCAGTCGACTACACATCTCCGAAAACAGGCTCTCAGGGCGAACAGAAAGGCGAGCCCCAGAAAGCAGTTGAGAGGGAATAGACTAGATCTTTAAAACGACAATTATATTCGCCTAATTGCTCACTTTCCCTGACCATAATTATGGGTTTTAATGTGAATCTGAAACGCTGGCAAAACGAAGTTTTTATTGCAGCGGTCGGGTCTCATTTTCAAACTGTCGTGAAGCGTTTGGCCGCCAGACACACAAACGTCTTATTTTCTACGGTCTACCTTTCAGAAGTATTTTTGTTGTGGATATTGCGGACTATGTCTGGTGTCTGTGGTTAACACTTAAAGTCCAGGGAATAGCTAGCACACGTCCATCTGCAGTGTTTGAGTAATTGCTTCTTACTTACGACTTATACAGGCGAATTCCCCTCCATAAATCTTTCCCAGGATATAGGTCTGGCTCCATTGTCTTACAACTGCGAATATTCTCGCGCCTTCATGTATTTGTTTCCATTAACACTACGGGCACATTTGGTTGTCAGCTTAATTGGTTTCGCAGGGATGTTGACCAGTTTTCTGTAATACTTGCGTGCGTCTTTAGCTGCTATCCGCATGAAGCACTCAAGTCCCTTTTCTGTGCTGTTTGGCCAACCGTGCACGGAAGAGCTGTGGTTCTGAAATGCAAACAGCTGCCACCAAGGCGTTTGTGTTGACAGAATGCAACATTCATAAGTTTAACTGTATGAGGCTACAGAACAGTTCCTAACTCTTACTGGAGGCGCAGTAGCATTGTTCATTTAAGTGACACCTTTTCATCTCTGGAACAAGCTCCCTTATACGAAATTTTCTTTAGCACTCTTCTAACCCTTATGGACAACCGTTTTCGCTTATATTTTCACGGGACGGGAAACGCAAAACCTAAGTAAATAACTATGAAAATGCAACGTTAATAACATCAAAATTAAAGTATCTACTAATGTAATAATTTCGGAAAATTGCGGTCATCTAGATGGCACTTTGCGGTTCATGATAGAATTCACAAAATCGACCATGTAAATTCTAATTTAAAGTGCGCAGTCTTTTAGAGCAGACCGTGAGCTGTCCAAAGTCGCTAGAAATTTGGCCTATTAACACTCGGCCGCAACTAAATTTGCCTGCATTGATCGGTTATGTACCCGGCTTAGGGATTGTAAACTCTAAATAAGTCACTTGGATTCCACGATCTAATTATTGGGTACCGTCGCACGCAATTTAAAAATCTAGAAACATGTATTATGGATTAGCACTGGACAAACTGACCGGTCAACCCTAGACCGGAGGGACTTAGGGTTTGGATTCAGTTTGCCATTGGGTCAGATCCCATAACACTTAATCCACTGGCTCTCTCTCCCCTTCTTCCGGTTGGATTGGGCGTATTCACTGACCCACCCTCCATTTTAGGACGTACTGCGAACTTTCTGGTCTAGGGTACTCACAGGCTTTCTCATAGAGACGAGCAAGGAACGATTTAACAACCACCGCTTCCCTAGATTAATTGGGACTTACCTGCTTTTTTAAGCGGTAGGCGCCAGCAGATTGTTATATACAGACTAGACACAGACACACTGATTACTTCTCAAGTGGGCCCAATCCAGTGGCTGTTTCGTCAAACTACTTGTTAGTTGAGGCGCCGCTCGTCTCGAGCTTATACCTGAATCCGCTTTGTATGAATATATACTTTAAAGGTAGTCTTAAGGTTCGCCGTTATTACACTGTTAACGTGGCGAGCCAAAAGTTCATCCCAAGTCCATTTTTTCGGATTTGACTGCTTTATGCATGATTACTGAGTGTAAGATCTTTATATTTAATCTCACAGTTTGAGCTTTGTCGATGGCAAAAGGTTTGATTTGCTAGCGATCAGTAATAATCTCCGTCCTTCGATTAGTATCAATGTCTTTCTTCCATCATATGTTGACTTGAGTTCCTTTAAGCTGCCAATGACTGACTGGAGAGGAAGACGCATCAGCTGCTTGTCTTTTAAATGGGGCTGGGAACCAAAATGTTGTTAAGAGTTGAAATTAATCTCCTGTTTCTTTTTCCCTTTTGTTCCCTTAACCAGGGGCAGGCGGCTGATCTGACAACGATTGAGGCCGTCGCCCGAACACTCGCTCGCTGCTGCAAGGAGTCGAAGGTCATCGTGGAGAAGAGCACAGTTCCTGTGCGAGCAGCAGCACGTGTTGCCGAACTCCTAAACTTCCCCGGTCTCAATGGCGAGGCCACTACGGTGAGTTCGCTCGTTCGCCTAATCCCCATCCCCACCTCCCTCCCTGCTCTTAATACCTTAATCTTCCGGCCTTGCCTCCCTCTCTGAACTTCCTTTCGAATATCCTTAAATTCAGTGGGCACGGTTGTCCTCTTTGCGTTCTCTTATTGTTAGTTTGAAGCCCCGCGGACCATTGCAGCTATTCCATATCTCACTTATCGTCTCTGAAAGTATTTGTGGTCGATCCAGAGAAATTATGTAGTGGAATTACCTAGGGTAGGTGTTGTGCTGTTAATGTTTGCCGCTCGAATCGGTGGTTAACAGTCTTTTGTAGCCGAACCCGTAGTAGTAATTTTCAGACGTGTCTGAGCGACGATCTCACAGATCTATTACTACCGATGCAAGCGAAAATGCGAGTTCCAGGCACTGGTTGATAAGAAGAAGCGAGGACTTTATTCGCTTGACGTTTCGGATTCTCACTTGAACCCATCATCAGAGACCGTGCCACTACACTCTGTTCCCTCACTTGCCTTGGCAGGTTTGCCCGAACAATTTCTCTTATGAAAGATGGACATCACGAACGACATCCCTTGATTCCTCTGCCGCACGTGAATTATTCGTCTACATATTTCGTCACCAAGTTGACAATCAACCCAGCTCTCTCCTAGGCGTTGCGTAGATGCCTGCATTCAAGTAGGGTTAACTCCATATAGCGGAAGTTTGAAGGGAACATATTTTGTAGTCAAAATCTTCTTGAAGCCAGTAAGCGTCTCGCACTTATCGTCAAAAACCATTTTGGATTTGAGTTTGACATCTCAGAGAGACGCTATAAACTTTTCGTTTGGTGAACTGAGAGTAAACAAGTAACGGCCTTTGAAGGCCGCAACTGTCCATTCGACAAAACGCATGCGGACTAAGTAAACTGCACTTCCGTATGCACATGTCCATGATTAATGCCTCCGGGTGCACCTTGTTACCCTACAGAATGCCAACTGCCGTTTTAACCAGATGTCTAGACGAATTGTATAAGATACTGCACATGGGTATCCAAATGCCGAAGTTTATCATCGGTAGTAGTTTCGGGAGCTGAGCCTTTTCATATTGCCACACGTGCCTTTTAGAGTATACATTTCAGGTCATCCACCTCTGTTTGCACCGCATCCCATGCTACCGAGTCGAAGCTCAGTTTCAACGTCGGCAGACCTCCAATCGTCAGTTGACCGGTAACCGTTTAACTTGGCTTGCTAATTTATGAAAGCCTGTGATTGGTCCCCGTTTACTGGGACGCCTGCGGACACGCGAGCCGCGAGCTAACCGACTGCGTCAGCGAGCTGTTGGTGTCTGCCGCGTGGCAACCCGCTTGGCACCGAGCGCAGACGCACTTCCAGTGGCCTACACATCCCCTTCACACCACGAACGAACTAAATAAAGTGGGCAGTTCAACAGGCTGACCTGTGAATATGATACTTCAACCGAGGCGAACGAGAAAGTCTACTAGTACCCCCATGAAGTGGGTACAGTAGTGACTCGCGCGCGCATTTTTTGATAGTAGAGCAGGCTTTAGATGCGTACATCTCCCCTACATCGCCCACCGTTTTCCGGTGGACAAGCAGAGCCCAGACTCCAGAGGTGGGCGTGGGCGCAAAAGTTGGCGAAGGTTAACGGCCAGTTTACGCGTGCCACGCACGGCCTGTTCCCCACTCTTCATATGCCAGCCTTCAGTTGGAAGGTTTTGGGTCTCACATACGTGAAATTGCCGTAGCGGCCTCACTAAGAGGAAACCGTCGAAGTCAGAACCTGGACCGACTTACCCCGCCAGCTGGCAGCCTTCCAAGCTGCGGCCGACAGTGCATCAGGTTCATTGTAGTGAAGACTGGGCTAATTTGCCGTGAAGATGCACTCCACCCCGGCGTCAGTCGCAGCCCCTCTTCTCTCTGTCCAAACCTCTCAACAAGCCTGTAGTGAGAGCGGACTTGGTAGCTGGCGAAGCCTTGAAGCGGTAGCCTACACATGCCATAGTAATGACGGTCTTCATCAAGCAACAAGCTTCTTACTTAGGTTCAACGTTCACTTTATCTCGCACGACTCGCCTGTTACAATGGTGCAAGTGAGTTGTATTGCATGCCGTTTGCGTGAGTTATATGTGGTGTGCTGGTTGTCATTGTGTATACGCGCGTAACCGATCAGGCCGGTCCGTCGCCTAACTGCGTTTTGTGTCTGTGTGTGTGCGCGGATAGAGAGAGTTGTGGCACTGATCTCCGGTCTGCATTTCATCACCGCGGGTTTTCGTGAATGCTGTTGTTATCGGACTGACCCTTACGACGTCCGAATGTCCCTGAATAGTTTTGTACAGGCATACGTGACAGGTGTAGATCGTGACCCCAGGCACCCGTCTGTGGTCGCATTGCGGTTGACTCCCAGACGACCGACAATGCCAGCCGGTGGTTCGAATGTGCGTTCGCAATATGGGCAGATAGGAATTGCCTGCATTTTTAGTGCAGGTGCTGATGGTGGGTTGATCGTGTCAACATTGCGCCGTGTCCATAAGTGTCCAACGAGACCATTTCATGCACTGAATGTCCGTCCACATCGTGTTGTATGCTTGCGTCCTTTATCAGTGCTCCTTAAATCTTGACCTCTGCTGCCTGGTTAGCTTCGAAGATGGTTGCTCCAGTTCTTCTATTGTCATTACCGGCCAGAGTAATGCTGCTGGCACTACTAATCTCAGCACTATTACTACTACTACTACTACTACTACTACTACTACTACTACTACTACTACTACTACTACTACTACTACTACTACTACTACTACTACTACTACTACGACTACCATTACTACCACCACCAGTGCTACTACTATTATCACAATGTAAGGTTAACTGGTAGTCCTGTACGTTTGACGGCGAATTTCTAAGTGAATCATTAAGAAAGCCGCGTTTTAAATAGCGCATATAACTAGCAGAATGAGATGGACATCCGAGAATAAGGGAAATCCTCGTTCATTGGTTCCGTAGCACACTTTTATGTCTCTATGGAACGTCAGGGCATATGTTCCTGCACGTATAGTTCACATTCCACCCGCCAAGATTTTGGAACGTAACTCATGTGATTGTGTTTTGTGGACAGGAGTGTGCCCATTTCTCAGAATCCCATGAAATTTATGCATGTATCAGCTCTCTTTTTGACAAAACGGACAATTTTTACCTGGCCTATGAGGCGATCCCTTTCTTACAGTCATGGTTCTTCTGCACAAAATGTCCAGAGCCGCACTGTATGTCGCAGTGACCTGATAGTTTTAGGATTAAGTCTTGTCATAATCCGACTTAACTCTGCGAAGAGAATGCACCCTTATTCTCAGGTGGCATCCCTATTAAGGCCGCCTTCACTGCCCCGGCCGCCGGTGTCTATCAAGGAAGTCAAATCGAAAGAGTCGTCATTCGCTTATCCGGACCGTACGCCTAATGGTCAGAACGGAGGCAAGACACCTTCCTAGGTGGAGCGCGAATTTTTAGGTGTCCTCGGCCCCTAGAGTTTTTTGGACTTTTAATACCCTTAATCGCGCACAGTGCCACCAATCAGAATGCGCGGTACTTGTCGTTCTGAAGATCAAGCGGTTACTTTTGATGCTCACGTGCAAAGTGCTGACTGGTTGCACTATGCCATTGATGAAGACCATGAAGCAGGGCACCAAAGGAGTGCTATGTTCTTTCCTAGTCAACGAGACAGCTTAAAAGTCCAGGCGTGCAAGATAGTATTCGGGACAGGTGCACTCCTATTTGCTTCCAGAGGCCTTTTCAGAAAACCCCTATTTCCGTCATAGGCCTAAGGCCTGGCAGCCATCGCTCTTCCATTGTCCTATCTACTGTCAGCGACTGCACTCAGAGCACTGGACAAAAAAATGTAGAAGGACAGTAATGTGGCTTCGCCATGCCCTTTCCTCCTCCTAGACCAGGACCGTCCCAACGCCGGTGGAAAAGTATTGACTTGCGCGTGATTTGAACGCCCTCTCCTCACCTCTCTCCCATTACAGTGATAAGTGTAGCTTAAAATGTCTAATGATGCCATTTATTCCATATACGTCTGCCAAACGCGTGCCGATCCCTCGACTCACACAAATTGGACGTTTCTCCCACTGCGCCGATGAGAGTTGCTATAACACCGCATAAATTGGAGCCTTCGCAACCTGGGCTACGGCCTCGAGAACCAAGTTGTCCTGACAGTTGGAAACCATTCAAGATATGCCTTTTAGGGCACTGCAACAGCACAGGGTCGACCCCGGTTCCTCTTCTATCATGAACAATTGACAAGACTGTGTCAAAACGACTAACTGTGAAGTTGAGGGCAAAGGCTGATGCAGTGGGCCTATGGTTCGGACTTGAGTTTTTTTCCGAATTAGAGATTGCCTCAGAAGACCACTTGTCAACTTCGAGATGCTTTTGTCTGCATCATCGCCGCCTTCATGATATCAAACGCTAACGACTAATGAATGGCTTACAATTCGCTATGAGGTGTGATTATGTTGACTATCTTATTCTGTTTTTAAAAGCATGAACCAGAAATGGGTGACTCTTAGCTGGCGGCAGCAGTAGTCAGACCTTTTTTGACTCAGTTTACGCTCCCGAGTCAAAAAATCTGTTGGATCAACTTTCCTCCTTCAGCACAAACATATACATGAAGAGGCAGGGTCTCTATGTCAAGTTCTGATTCGGCTATTGTTGTATATAATAAATTGGTTGCTGTACTGTACAGAAGTGACGAAAGCATTCCGCTTTCCAGTTGGTTTGCAACACCGATGTTTGTACTTTATCTTCCAAAACCTCCTGCAGTTTGTCTCCCTTCAAAAAACATATCACTTAAATGGCTTCAAATAAAGACGCACTCCACCTGATGGAGGGCCAGAAACATTGATTTGGTTTTAAGGCAGTGAACTAAAAAGACGCGCTTTCTGAGGACGTTTATCTCGAAAGTGGGCCCGAATAAAGCGTAATTTTGTCTTGTATGACGACAAATATGGACTATGGAAGCCTAGACCCCAAAAACTTAGTAGTTTTCACCACTACTAGAGTAAGTGTGATTTCCAGGCATTATATCAGAAAGGGTCACGGTGTTCATCACTAATGGTATAATTCAGACAGCATTTCCACTACCCATCTTCATCATCAAAATCTGGTATATACCACGGCCCATAAAAGCAGCCATGGCGACCTTTTTAGGGCTTCCCTAAAATATGCAATCTAAATGTCCCTCTGCATTATCATCGCATACGCGGGGTACGCCCACACACAGACTTGCAAGTCAATTTTTCTGGAAGCTTAAGACCCAGACCGTGGCTCATAAGCGACTGTTTATCCCTCATAGCAATTCCTAGCTAAATCGAAGGCAATCACCTCCCACTTCATGTTTTTGCGATAGAGTCACCCAGTTGCCTGCTGCGCCAAAGCTACGATGGGAACGATGATCAGCCTGCAACTTGTGTGACACTGTCTCAAGACATTCGTCACCTTCGTGGGGACCACATGAGAAAATCAAGGACAACCCAGTGGACTTATCGGTCTCCGGGCTTATTGCTGGGTCAATCTTCCACAATCTTCAAATGCAAGTGCTTGGGGAGGGCGAATCCAGTTCGTAAGCCAGTCACGTTAACGACAGTTTTGTCACTGTCGACCAGAAGAAGATGGATTTCAGTAATAAACGCGTTGACTCCTTTCAGCACCAGTCAACGATTCACAGTGTTCGAGGAAGTGGAGGGCAGACCTCCGTCCATAAATGTCCTCATCCGCCGCCAGCTGCACGACCAGCCGGTGACCGGTCAGCCTGCGACAAATGCTTTATTATAGCAGCAACTGCCCTCTGCATCCCAAACAAAACTGTATACGCACGCTATACCGGAGGGTTTGGAACCTCATAGTAGTAGGAGTTTCGCCTGGTAGAATGAAACCAACCGCCTCCAAGGGCTCTTTAGAGCCACCGAGCGTTCACGAATTTTCTGTGAAGGGAGTCGAATGCCCCAGAATGGCTATATGAATAGCCTAACCAGCCCCGATCGTGACGGAACATCCCGCAGGTGAACCCGTCAGGACCCTCGCGTAACTCAGAACTGGAATTGCCCACCGGCCTGACTTTCAACTCCACCGGTTAGTGGTGTAGTCAAAGGCAACATGTCCAGCTAAAAGTCAGCCATTGTCTGCGGCCTCCAGTGAGGCTTCGGAGAGTCCGTTTTTGTTGGAAGAACAGGCCGTACACTGTGGACGCGGATGTGGGAAGAGTAACTGGGTGTTCGGAGGTTAGGCCTGAAGTCGGTGGCAGCCTATGCAGTGCGGATAAAGCACACTTCCAGTTTTGACGGCCACACCTTAGGGCATATGCAAGAAGTCAAACCTCTGAGTTTCTCGCTTCCTGGCTTTATGTCATATTTACCATTATCTCCTCACTCTTCTGCTGATATTGTCTGCTAACCGCGTACTTTTAACTGTTTGTCAGTTTTTTCCAGTTTTTATTTTTTGTCTTCTCAATTTTATTCATATATCTGGACCGTTTATGCGAAAAAATGTGCTCTGGTGGTTGAAAACCACATGATCGTCAACTATGGACGGTCCTTCCATTCAAAGTTCAAGTTGAAACCCTGTCAGTCATTTCCCTAATTCCAATCATTTCATTCTTCCACTCTTCCTTTAGATTGAACACGCTGTTCTCTCAAACCCCGAATTCCTTGCTGAGGGGACGGCAATTAATGATCTGCTGAATCCTGACAGGGTCCTCATCGGCGGTGATGAGAACTCCGTGACATCCCGTCGCGGGATAGAAATGCTAACCTGGATTTATGAGCACTGGATTCCACGCGATTTGATTCTTGTTACGTCAGTGTGGTCTTCCGAACTATCCAAATTGGTAAGTTAACCTAAATTTGCATGTCCAGTGATTGTTTTTTGGTGACTTGCTTCTTCTAAAAGCCTCCAATCCAGGTTCCTCAGACCTGGCCATCCCGGTCTCCCCTATCCTTGTACGTGCCCCCTCCTCCATCATCTGATTATTTTTCAACTCTCACAGGTTTCTAAAAGTTTGAAGTCCAAAAGAGGGACTCCATCGATGGAGGAAAAATAGTATTCGTCTGACGTTTATTATTCTCCTCCGAATCCTTCATGAGATACAGTAATCGATGGAAGTAGCGGACACTCAGGAACTCCAGAGTTGCTGGAATTTAGCGACTTTGTGTTTCGTTTCAATGCAGTGCGTCCAAGTGTGTCGACAGAGCGGTCTTGCGCAGCTGTGTCCGTGACTACTTGGGTGGCTGCCGTCGAGGCTCAGAGCCGCCATTGAATTTGAATTTTTTCTAAATACTTTGACTTTTAGACGTATGTTCTAGATGTACTAGTTTAACCACCCAACTGGCTTGACGGTAGTCCCTGTTTTCTTAAAGGCTGCGTTGTTGTATGTGACCATAGATCAGAGTCAGTTTATCCTCCCGGTTTATTTCAAGCTGCTACTCGCATGTGCTTGTGCCTAGGTGTCTGCCCATCGATCCGTCGTACTTTGTACTACAGTTTTGGTATGTTATCCCACAAACTACTGCTGACGGTGTCGTTGCAGATTGCGGCTCTTCGAGTCTCATCACTAACCTCTTTGATGGCGGATTTCGGCTTATGTGCTACACCAATCGCAAAAGGGTTCAGGATTCTTGCTATCTTCATATATGGCATAAGAAGCTGGAATTTCGACTCCGAACTGTTTGACCGCTTACGGGTAGACTTATTCAAGTACTTGTCTTTAAAAAAATTCGTTTAACCACAGCTTGTAAGTATGAAATGTAGATATCTCACTTTATCCTCACTGTCGTCGTCAGCACGGTGTGTTTGGAACCGTTGGAATAGGGTTCTAACGCAAACTACGTTTTTAACCAGCAGTGCGATTACTTTTGAGTTGTACACTGCACCTCGTTTCTGTTGCCTCACGTGTATATCGTAGTTTTTATCTTACCTTCTGCCATCCTCGTAACCTGTGCATTCTAACCGACCTCATTATAGACACTATTACCTACAGTTTCTGGAAAAAACCGTAAGGAAGGTGATCTGTGTTCGTGCGGCGTCACTCCTATTTAATGTAATCCACGTAGCACTCGCGTGCGCAAGTTCTCTTACCCCTAAATGAAGCCCGAGACCTGTTGTGCTGGAGCTAGACCTCGTGCAGCATGCTAAGACATTTAGCCATGTCGGAAACTGCGTCCGTGTCTGGGTTTTGGAACACGGTGGAAGAATGGAGTGCGCATGAACGTCAACGGAGTCACTGGCAGAATTACACAGTTCGTCTGCACGTGTTGCACACGGACCATTCTAGTCTGATCCCCAGTTCCAAGTAGGACCGATTCATACCATCAGTTGGTGGTCTCCCGAGCCGTGTGACAGTCACAGGTTTAAATCGCAAAACGAAGCGACGCGTGTCAGCTATATTGACCCCATTTCCGCCCCCCCCCTCATGTTTAACCGGCCTGTCTGGGTCAAACGGACTAGGATCGGGATTAGGCTACGTCTGACGGAATGTGTAACCGCCATCTAACCCGAGGTTGCCTAGTCGTGTCTACGCTTCAGTTTGCCTGTTTCTCTCCGCCTAGATCACTTCGGACCCTGAACTTAACAGTGCGGGCGTGCTGATGGGTTGCTGATGATGTTGTTGTTGCTATTTATGCTTGCTGCTTCGCCTTAGTCTTCCGCCTTTACTTGGTTTTGAAGGTATTCGCTGGATTTGTTATAACTGCGCCGCCAAGACTGTCGTTCCTAACCTAGAGGAGCACATAACCCGTGCAATTTATTTGACTAAGCCTGTGTTCAGCAAGTTGTCCTGTCCGTTCGAGGCCCAATCTACCCAGTCATTCTTGTCTACTACCCAAGTCCCCATCCTTGATAATACTACCGGCACAATTAGGCGGAAAGATGACTTTAAGGAGTAAAATAAATTCGCGGATTCGTTTTTCCGTTGTGTCAGCGCTCTCCGTAGATGAGTAATGAGCCGCCTCTGTTCTTGGTGTCCTGTATTTTCGTGATTTATCTTCTATTCCAATCTGGAATGCACATCGTCATTTCCTTTATGATTGGTGTGCAATATGTTTCGACATTAATGCGGCCTATAACTGACGTCAGCTGTTGTTTTTATGCCTCAAACAAACGTAATCGCGCGTAAACGATAATATGCTTAAATTCCGTGCTAGGTGTTAATTTGCCTAACTGGTTTTATCATTGGAGCCTAATCTACGGGGCCGCGATTCTCGGCCGTCTGTTTTCCAGTGTGTTGGTGACTTTAGCGTAGATTTACTTCCGGCGAACCGCCCTTCAAAGGGCGACTTGCTGTTTTGTCTCGTGTAAAATTGGCCCACTTTTGTCCCATCTTATCGGTGAGTGTGAGCCATCCTGCTTACTCATTGTTTGCCACACTTTATTTAAAAGTGCCAAGTACGTCTGGCCGAACTCACTGAGTCTGCTCGTTACCGAACTTGGCATACTGCTAGGGGTGGGATTCAGCACACCAAAATATTAGCAAGTGCACCAAGAGTTGCCCTTATTTTATGCAGTCGGAGTTAATTTTGTAGAGGTGGACTTTTAGTGCCTAATTCAGCATGAACTGCTCGCTTGTACTATTGTCAGGTACCGTAAACTTAAGCGTCAACGGTGCCATCAGTGTACTTTACTTCAGGTACAAAATCAGTGGATAGAATTGTCTTTCATGTAGCAGTACATTGACGCTTCAAAAGTCGAAAGACAGCTAAGTGCAAGTTTGTGCAGACTTTCTGAAAAGTTGACAAGGGGACTTCTTCTGACCAATGAGTGTCTAGGGAATTTGTTCTCTCAAAAGAAGAGGAGGCGTTCACCGGGAGAGGTGTATTTGAGGTCTGACGTTCGGATAGTCGTTTCTTCTACCCATCTTCAGAGACTGAGCAGTCGTGCACACAACTTTCCTTTTATGGCGCACTTTGTTCAATGTCTGGCCCACCAATGCCGCCTGTGTGGCTGCATCCGACCCGCATGTCACCGTGACCTGAATCCCGCCCATCTTCGTCGACTACCCGAAACGTCAGACCTCAAATACACCTCTCCCGGTGAACGTCTCCTCTTCTTTTGATATGCCACCCGGGAATCGCATTTTCACTGCTATTAATTTGTTCTCTACTTAAGCATTCTGTTAACTGCAGTTCCACCCATCGGAATTACTGTCTGAGTAGCTTTGACAACGCATTAGGTGCTCGTAATTGCCTGTGTCTTCTGGAAATTAGAACAGCATTGGCTGAAATGGACGAAGAACCATACACTGCCTGACGAGTACAAATCGCTGTGCCTTCGATTTTGTGCTGTGTCACATCCATCAGCTGCTCTTTGTTCACTCAAAGAGCAGTCGGCACGATATTGAAGGTTCGGCTCCGTCCGGTGACACAGGCGTTTTCCAGTTCTAGGTCTGAATTGTTTATTTCATTTACACTGTTTGTTTCAGTTGGTATTTGGCTAGTTAGCCGGCTTTGCTACCGTCTCGAGTGGATTTATGTGAATTAGTATGTTCCTTCGTTAAAACGGACCATGCTCCGGTCCAACACCGGGAGCTAAATCAGAGTAAGGCAGGCCTTATCGGGAATGCGCACCTACAACAAAGGCCAAGATTGTGGACGTAACGGCAGGCCGATGTGCATGCTTACACCGCGCCCATTGGCATCCGAGTCGCCCTCCCATTTTTCTTGTTTAAAATCCTGATCAGTGTCCCTTGTGGACCAGGAAGTGTGGTGGTACGCCTAGGTGCGGCTCTCGTCATGCTAGCTGTCGGCGCTCTTTCTCCCACTTCCGGTCTTCTTAACCATGTCTTGGCACCTGGCCCAGACGGGGGGGGGAGGGAAGTGCGGTACCTTCTGCGCAATTGCATTAGCACTATAAACTAATTCAGACACAAGTTACCGTTCCTGGTGCCAAAGTACTGTTGAGCACACAGAGGGGACATCGTGGCCAACGGCGGTCGAACTGTCACGTAAGTTAGGAAGCTAGTGCTCATTTCCGCTACTTTGTCATAAATCGCCAGAGGCAATCCTGAAAATGCGACCGACTGTAAAATGTAAACCTGTTTTCGTACGGCCTCTAAGTTTAAGGCCCCCCGTTTCTCTTTTTGGTAAATAAATAATGTTCCTATTGTGTCAGGCATCAGTATTTATCAAGTCGTTGACACACATTTCTTCACCCTTACCCACTAGGCCGCGAATGCTTTTCTTGCTCAACGAATCAGCAGTATAAACGCCGTCTCGGCCATTTGTGAAGCCACCGGTGCCGACGTTCGTGAGGTCTCTCAGGCGATTAGTCTCGACTCCAGAATTGGTCCCTACTTCCTGAAAGCCAGTCTTGGCTTTGGTGGAAGTTGTTTCAAGAAGGATATTCTCAATTTGGTAGGCGTCGTTGCGTGGCACTCCCGTTACTGTCGCATGACAATTATATGACTTCTTTTTCTTTTATTCTCACACGACCACTATCTCCCATCTCCTTTTTTATTAATTTTCAACTTTTCGACAGACCTACATCTGTCAATCCCTTAATCTCACGGAGGTGGCAGCCTACTGGAACGCGGTGTTACAAATGAATGAACACCAGATGGACCGTTTTGGTCGCTGCATTCTTGACTCCCTTTTCAACAATCTGCATGGCAAACGAATAGCTATCTTCGGTTTTGCTTTCAAGAAGGATACTGGCGATACTCGGTGAGTTCTCTCCCAACTGTTCCAATCTACCTCCTTCACACTGCCCCCTCCGTTGATGGGCCCCTGTCTCCCACGGCTTCAGATATGCCAGTGTAGATGAGTGCTACCTAATCCGATCTGATCCAGTTTTACTCTGATTGCAGCAAGTTTGTTTTTTATAGGGCGGAGTGTTAGGGCCACAAAACGAAATTGTCAGCACAGTTTTGAGGAAAGAGTAGTGCTTAAGCACAGTGATGGACATGATTCCAACACGATCTCTACCCAGTCACACCGCTCCTCAACCAGAGTTTTTCCCCTGCCACTTACGGTAGCCTTACTAAAAAAAATGTGACGTTTTCTGCCATGCATTAAACGATACCTTGCCTGAAACTTGCGCCAGCTTGCCAGTTGTTTCATTTCCTCGAAGCAATCGCAATAAATAAATCGTAAACTTGAGTTGTATTTGCTTATTATGAAACTGTAATTAGGTCACCCAAAAATTGCCTTGTTTGATGTCTCGCATACTCGACAGTTCGACTGTCGTTTCCGACGATGTCCACCTGATGCTCCACAGTAATGTGGGAGCAGGGACGGTGACTTATGCGTGAATTCCTTCATAGTGAGAGTAGACTTGCGCAGCGCCTACCGCACTCTCCTCCTGCTCCCCCAATTGGATCTGGTGTCATGACAGAGTCAAGATGACCGGGCGCGAAAGAGGACGCAGGTGGCTGGCACGGTTAAAACTCGGATCTAGGCGTACAACCACATGCCCTGGTGCACCACGTACATCTAACCAGGATTTTGCACGGCAATAAAAAGGGGGGGGGGCCTTGGATCCCAGCTGAGTGGGAGTACCGTAAAGGCCGTGAAAAGAAGGGGCTATTGCGGCCTGTTTCTTAGTCCTCCCAGGAGGTAAGAATTATCCCGTCAGGTGGCGGCCTTCCAAGCCATAACTTTCAGCGCACCATGGAAGATTCAAGAGCGTCAGACTGTTTATAATGAGGGATATTCGCTGAGACCGTCAACCTCACACTCTTTTGCCACTACCGGCCACCAGTCCGCTGTCCGAGTCAGTCAGTTGTTTGATGCGGGAATCGGCCACAGTAGCTGACAAGGCTAGAGATCGCGTCTGCGCGCGCCACATACATGACCTGGCCCCTTCAACGCACATCACACAAAGAGGAGTGGGCGGCTCGAGTGTAACATGGGGAAGGAGCCGAGTGACACACATCTTACATACATGAGGGATGCCTGCGTTGTGTGACGTTGGTTTTTGTGTGTGGTGCACTTGTTGGTGGGGAGTGTGTGTGGTAATGTGGTCCAGTCTGCGATGATTCACCGCAGATTTTCGTGAAGACGTATGTGATCTAGTAAACCCAAGCGATGACAGAATATGCGTGGGCAGTACGGACAACTGAGGCGATGACTGCGGGCGTATGTTGGTGCTCCGGGCACTGGTTCGCCAATCTCTGCACGATGAATTTCCGAGTGATTGATGAGGCAGACGTGTGGTGTGCATATGTGGTGGCAATGTGGGCATGATAATTTAGGAACTACTTTGTCGGTTCCGGTGATGATGCTGCCGGTGGTGGGTGGAAAGTTGACAGTGCTGGAGATGGGAGAGTTGTCGGATATGCCAAGTGTGTCTGGTGCGTCGACGTTGCGGAGAATTCCGCTATGGTGGATGCCCATGCGGTGAGCAAGTGTGCGTGGACAGTGCGGCCAGTAGAGGCGGATGCAGATGGTGCATAAGGCACCGGTCTCAGTGCGATGGGTTCTCAAGTGACTGACCAGAACGATGCGTGAAGCGAATGTACGATCGTAATACAGGTTGAGACGGAGTTTAAATCGCTAGTTGAACCGATGGTAGTGAAGGTGTTGGTTGACGAGGCGTCGAGGTTGTTCTCGGCGGTGGCGGGAATGGGAGAGGTAGTTGTTGCCGTCACAGATGTTGTGGTGAGGATGGCGCAGGTGGTGGCGGTCGACGGCGACGGGACATCGAGTGTCACGTTCACTGGTGAGGGAAGTCGCCGACGTGGATACCGTGGGGGTTGGTACAGGGTGACGATGGTGGCGGTTATGGAGGCAGCGGTTGGGGTTGTTGGGTTGTTGTTGCAGTAGCATATTAGGTGTCTGATTGGATCTGTCCGCGCACGGAATGTTCGTAGGCCGCGTGAGCATGTCGAAAGACGTTGGGTGTTGGCATTGTGGATCGGCAGCGTCTGTGACTTGCGAACAGTTCTTTTGGTTTTCGCATCGACAATTCAGCTGGCTGCATAGAGTGTTGCTCCAGTCTTCACCTCTCGTCTTTGGGCCGTCGGTCTTGCGCGAGGTCTTCTCAGGTTTTCAGGTTGATTTGTAAACGCTCCAAAGAATTCTTTAGGTGTTTTTGTAGCGGCGTGTATGTCCTCATTATTGACTAGCACTCACAACGACATCTCTGTAGAAGAAACGTTTATTTAGTCGCCCATCGTAACGAGTTTGTCGCTCCATCGCAGCAGCAGTTGCCTCGCCATGGTGTGGATTATGAGGATTCCGGTCCGTTCCAAAACGTCGGTCTCCGGGATCCTGTTCTACCACTTTAGATTTAGTTTTCTTCAGAGACAGCTGATTTGGAAATGATTGACTTTCCGTGCCTGCTTTTTGTAAACTGTTTCGGTCTCCGCTCCATACGGCAGCATCTTCCAGATGATAGCTTTCTAGATCTTGAGTTTGGTGTTGAGGTGGAAACCGTGGCGACTCCGTACGAAGTTCTGTAGCCGGCCGAATGCCTGGCTGACTTTCGAGATACTGTGAGCCACTTCGTCGTCGATTTTTATGCTTAATTAGGCGAAGTTGTCCACGGTTTTTGAGTTGGATGCCGTTGACGTATATGCGACGAACATTGTATGTGACGTTGGGTGACGGTTGATGCATGACCACCGTTTTCTCTATGTTGGTAGTCAACCCGAAGTTGGCGCAGCCGGAAGCGAAAAGGCCCATGCTGCATTGCATATCTACCTCTGTCACAGTGTTGAGCACACAATCATCCGCGAAGAACATACTTAAGTTTACCTCAGACTGGAAAATAACAACTCACCCCCACAAGGCATATTTCTTGGGTTTGAATCCGATCGCTACACCATGGCATTTGCGTCGTTAGTTTTGTATATTGAGTTGTAAATTCTGGTATCTGTTCTAAGCACGCATTTCCCAACTCACCTATGGTGGTCTGTGCTTTGTATTGTTTAATTTCGGAGGAAATTAATGCGCGAAATCGGAGTATTGCTCTCAGAACAGACCTTTTTAGGCACGGTCCGAAATTTGATATGCTTTGTTTTGTTTTTTTTACCGTTGCATTCCACCGAGGCTACATTTCCCTGCACTTTTTTTTTCTTCTACGGTTTTTTAAAGAGTGTACTATTGTGCCTAGAACTCGTTGTCTTTGTTGTTTTATTAAATTTTGGCTTATTTCCGACCTGCCTTCACTGCGTCACATTTGACTCTTTTCCCAGAGAGAGCGCTGCAATCACTGTGTGTTCAATGCTGCTTTCGGAACACGCCAACTTATTCATCTACGACCCCCAAGTCCCCCGAGAGGAGATCCTCTCGGACCTTACTGAACAGACTGGCCACAGTTTGGGTAAGTCTTTCTCGTAGTTGCTTCATGATTTGAGCACTAGGCTGTGATGCATGATGTTTGAAGATCCGGTATATTCGTGTAGCCTTAGTTACTGCGACTCTATAAGCGTATGTGCGACAGTTCGTCCGTCGCGAGCGACGATGTCTCCACTGTGGGCGCAACGCCGATGACCTGCGTTTAAATTAGTCTATAATGAGACAGACTTGCACAGTATCTACCGTACTTTCTCCACTCTCACCCACTGGATCCCCGTGACTAGATAATATCAAGACGACCGGAGGTTTACTCGGGCGCCCCTAACAGTCCGCCTACACGCGCCACACACGACCTGATCCCGCAGCCTTCATGTCGGCGACCCGGTATTCACATCTGTGAAAACTCCGCAAAGATCACACTAAGACTCATCCATGGAGTCTGACTCTCGGTCCCCCAGTCAAGCACTCCACGCCAACACAGTACTGATCGCGAGCACCGAGCTATCTCGTCACCTGTCAGCCTTACAGGCCACCGCATTTGGCGCGTTGTGATATATTCAAATGCGTCACAAAGCATTTTTCCCGGTATGAATTTAAAACAGCGATAGACAACAGAACTTGGTACCAACCAATTTCGCTACGGCTTATCAACTGCAACCCGACGCTGCATAACCCGTGTAACGAATAAAAAGCATACAGCAATTACAATTTGCACATAAAACCAACGCAAAACGGCAAGGTCATTGTTTAGTGTACACAGGCTAATCAGCAAAAATGCCAACTTGAGAAAGTAATCTAGAAAAGAAAAAGGGAAAAATTAACACGAAAAGGGGTATGGAACTCGAAGGAGTGGAGATTACCAGAGCAAGTTTAGGTTGACCACGTGGTCTAGCTGTTTTCATGGGTCGGGTTTTTCCCACCGTATGTAGGCTATTTCGGTTATCTAGTAGTTCTTTGTACTTTCCCCCTCTGGTCCCAGTCGGATGTGTTTTTCCGCCTTGTTGATATATTCTACATGATATTGTAGCAGCCGAAGACGTCGAGGGTAGCACACACACACACGGTCGGACGGATAACCTAGGGTAGTTTTCCGGTTATGTAACACTGGACGGAGTCGTTAAACACCACACCAGACATGTATATAGGGATATAGCAAGAAAAGGGGCTTAAGGCGTGTGAAGCATATGTTACGGCAAACAAACTGGTGGAATAGCAGGAGTGGAAGATAACTAATACAAGGAAGGGCGAGGTACTGTACAAATAGTCCATTTGGATTGAAAGGTAGTCACGTCATCTCACTCCGACACCAGTGGGGATTGCAGAGTTGTCGGCAGCTGCTGGTAGGGGCCGGGGAGTGTGCTGATGATGGGGGATACGAGCGACGAACGGGCAGCGAGAGGGGAGAAAACGATGTCAGCGGCAGGGAAGGAAAGAGCATCGGTCATATTCACTAGCAGGCGATCACACCAGACCCATCCGGGATCCGACTCAAAGTGGCCTCAGTTCATTCAAACAAATCGGTCGAATTTGTAGTGCTCTACAATATCTTATAACTGGTCTAACTACCGCCTTCCTGTCTCCGCTTTTGCCGAGCTGGTCACCGTATTTCGTCAAAAGGCCATTGTTGTGCTTATCATCTGCTCAAAACGAGGACTCGACGAGAAGTGAGCACCCTACGTTGTATGAATTGCCTTCAGGCTATTACGCAGTAGTGGGATTCCACAAAATTGTTATTTCTTATTTAAAATTGCATGTCGAGGCGGTTCCAATACGCGCTGTGCTAGTGGATTGTCATTTCAACTGACGCTGCGACTTGCATTTTCGCGACTGATTTTGTTTCTTCTAACCTGCCTTCGCAGTTGCTTCCAATGTGACCGTCTGCAGTTCAGCCGCAGAGGCGGCAGAATCCGCTCATGCAATCGTCATCTGCACAGAGTGGGACGAGTTCAAGGTGAGTCAATGGGCGCCTCTCACCCCACGCTCCTCCTGGTTGTGTTTATTGTTTGGTCGTAATTTTCTACCTCGCCTGTTTCTTCTACTCCCAGACCCTAGACTACCGCGAACTCTACAATCGAATGCAAAAACCGGCCTTCCTTTTTGATGGCCGACTTATTGTGGACCACGCCGAGCTGCGAGCCATTGGTTTCCAAGTAAAGGCAATCGGCATCAACCTACAGGAGCGCGTTCTTTCCCCGCAGTTTTCTTCATCGAACCACTAGTAGTTTCTGCCAGCCGGGCTGACTTTGTATTTTGTGAATTCTACCCACTGTTTTTCAGTGGCGAATTCTTCCAAGACTTTGCATTCCGTCTGTAATTTGAATCCTTATCTGTCTTCTCTTGTGTCTAATCGACAACAGTTTTTAATATATATATTACTTTTGGGACAACTGACACCCTGTCTTACTTTCTCAGTCGTGGTTGGTTTTAAAAGTGGAATCTAACTGAGAGTACTTTTCGCCCTAACATTTCCAGATGTTCCCTTACGACTTAAGATATCAGGACGCTAGGAAATCGAAACTCATCTCCACCCAGTTCCCTTCCCCTTTTGTCGTTTACTTAAAGCAAGATTTTCAGATCGCTCACCCTAACCTAATTTATGGGCGCCCTAACAACCGATCCAGTTTCACTGACAGATACTGTTATAAGAGTCGTATTAAAGAAAGTATCCTAATTACTACGTTTGGCAAGGTGCTTTTCAGTGAGGTTGGGAACACAACTATAGTGGTAGGCGCATTTTCTGCAAACGTCAGCTCACTTCCGTCCGTCAAGCTGTGCGCCAGTAGGTGGGCAAGTCATAGCGTGTAGCCAAGTCGGTTTCACTGGTCGGTTAGTCTGTTGATTTCAGGCGAGCACCGCTGACTGCCTGTCGAGATATATAAAGCACCCTGAGTCGAGTGATGGCCTCGGATGTCTGTGGACCAGAAACAAAAATCTGGCAGGGAGCATGCGACTCCTGAGTGTTACACGAGAACTGAGGTGAGACCTGTGTGTCGGAAGTTACCACACTTCCTTTCAAGGTGCCTCTGAGACACTGGTGAGGAGGTGCCCGCGGTTTACATAGGTCCCTCTGATGCCACTACAGGGTTAGCACTCGCTAAACCTCGTACTTAATTGGCCGATCTTGGCTAGGCGTTTAAGTTGAGGAAATAGCCTGAGGTATGGCAGTGCTACCGACAACGATGGGGATCAAAATCACGTTAATTAACCCCCTGAAACTGCCGGAACTGGCACCCTGGTAACCTGCCTCAGCATATACTTAGGTCCACTTCGGTGGCAACACGTTATTTCACCAAGAAAATTCTGGTCGCAAACTCGCTTGCTACAAGCATTTTGGATGGTTTTTATATTGCGCATTTGGGATTGACGGACCTCGGTTGGGAAGTACATGTGAAGTACAGGTAACCTCCGCTCATTTATGCGGGTCGTCCGCTATCTTTGACGTCTCGCGCGTAGGAGATATCTGGCAACGACAGGGTGAGGGACCGCCATTGGCTGTCGTCATACTATGGATCGCATGATTGTGTATATAAAGTAGGTAGGCCAAATCATGAAATGTCAACCGAATTTCCGAAATGCATTTTCGCCTCGTAAAGATTAATTAAGTAGGGTTGTAAAAATAATCAGCCTGCAGTACAATTCTACAATAATTCAGTTACCTCAGGATGCCGGTTTCCGAACGAACTTACTTATGACTGCATGCAAAAACTGTACTCTGTAAAAAATGACTGCTTAGGTAGCATAAATGTTTCTCTTTGATTTTCAATGCCCCTAAATGTCCAATTATACTTCATGGAAAACATTCGTCCTTTCACTCATTCGGTAGGAATCTACGTCTTCTTCCAATTTTATACTGAAAGCAAGGGCATCATTCGGTTTTAAAAAGTTTCTAATCGTGAGACTTCAATACCGTGAAATGGCTGTTCATAAAACGTCATGTCTCTGCATTTACCAATGTGGCTTGTAAAGTTAACAATATGAATCAAATTCAATACTAAATTTTCTGAACCCCGTATGGTCTCCTCTTAATACTGTTGAGAATGTGTGGTTTTCCGTACGCGGAAAGTACATGGATTGTAATTTTGAAACCCTGAAGGCAAGTGTGACGGCAGAGCGGGTTCAAAATTATTCGGGAATTGGAAAAGTTTTTGAAAACCGAATATTACCCTTCCTTTGAGTATAAAGTTGACAAAAGGCGTAATTTTCTACCGAATGGGCGGAAGAATGAATATTTTCATGCATGTCTTCCATGCACTATAATTGGACTTTTAAGGGAATCAAAAGCAATGAGAAAAATGCATGCTACTTAAGTAGTAATTTTTTACAGAGTATAGTTTTTGCATCCAGCCAGAAGGAAGTTCGTTCGAAAGCTGGCATCTTGAGGTAACTGAATTGTTATAAAATTATACTTCAGACTGATTAATTTTACAACCCTACTTAATTAATCTTTTCGAAGCGAAAACGAATTTCGGAATTTTGGTTGACATATCATGAGTTAGCCCACCTACTGTACTTGCGAAATCTAGTCAATTCCGATGACTGGCAGATCTGCTCAAGAACGGAGAAAAAAGAAACTGATGCCAACTGAGCGTGAATTAAGAAATAACAGGAATGTCTGCCAGGGGATCGGCTAGGTTGTTCGGTGGTCAGACAGTCCAAGAGGGGACGCCACGGGATATCCAGTCGCGTTCCGTATCTACATGCATTTATCGTTTTACTGCGGTGTATCGTTTTCATTACCAACCGTTTTCCGTCAGCTTACTGTCCGGCATGTTACCGCATCCATGAACCCCTAATTAGCATTATTCCCGCATGACACGACCCACAGTATACTGACAGCTAACAGGGATCCTTCACCCTACAGTGGCCCGATATCTGACCAACAAGGATAAAGAAGGTCGAAATAACCATTCCATTCTTCTTCGATAATGCCCCAGTTGTTCTCTGTCTGTAAAGCTGCTGGTTAAAACGGAACTACCACATTCCATTGCGCAGCCAGTTTAAATTGGTAAAAGTTACTGCCATATGACTTGTAATATTTCTGACCGCGGTCAACGGGGCGTCGTTGCTTGACCTCATGGTGGAGCATTCGCCTTGTAAGCAACTGAGATCGAGTGCATTCCGCATAGTTTATACGTCTGGGATCCAAGTGTAGTTGGTTAAAGACAGCAAAACCTGCGATTACTATCACGGCCTCCACATTTATTGCAAGTTGTCAGGGTTATTTCGTATTATGTGAGTTTCCCTTCGTTTTCTTTGTGACCCAGGGAGTATTAAGTCACTTTGGGAGGATTATTCATGCTTTGGAACATTGCGGTATTCACTGCTCATCGACAGCTTTTAATGTTAAAGTATTCAATACTTTCGCCTAAACGGTCTCAATGAACTATTATCTCCACTAGGCATTAAGAACCATGAAGAAGACAAGCGTGTACACAAACCGTGGGTAATATTTTCTGCTTGAGAACAAATGTTACAATTTTGATGAACTATGCGTTAGTTTCGCTCCATACACACCAGTAAAGGGCCTGACTTGTTGAATAAATGAAAGCATTTCAAGTCGGGGGTCTTCCGATCCTGTGGTTTATGTTTTGCAAACCAACATTGACAAATTTGGCAGGATAGGTCCTTTCAAACTCTACTGTCAACATCGACAACACCTCATTACTATTATTATTTAGCGTGTGGAAAGTGTCCTACTTAGCTCATGCATAGTCCAGATCCGTTCAAGTTGTGCTGGGAATGAAAGTTCGAGCTCCATTAGCTGTGCCCGGCGTCCATAACCTTCTACTTTCTGATCTCGGCATGTAGCGAGCTGAGATTCAATCTCAGCAGTATAAGCATACCGTTAGGTTGCTTAGACTTTAAAGTGGACGCAGAAAATCGACGGACAGGACTGCGGATGGTCAGGTGGTACTGAGCGTTGTCGTCCAGCCAAGGGGGGTGCTATTTGCCCAGTTTAGACGTCCTGTGTTCTTCCGGTCAAAGTTATGGGCATTTTTAATTCAACGCGGAGGCGATTTGGTCACAGATCGCTCAGTGCCGGGGCTCTGAAGCCGCGGCCACATCAGTGATTGGTTATTTTGCTTTTCCGCTTCCTTATAACTGAAACAAACAGACTAGGTTTATAAGGTGCAATGCGCGGTTCTGATGAGTTTGCAGATAGGGATTCGGAAGTTCATAAAGGATATTAGGGAGTGTGGGCAGAAGTATTTCTTCAGGAGTGGCTGTCCGCGTCGTGTGAACGCGCGGTCCGATTGGCGTGCGCGTCGATGAGGTGAATGATCATGGCGATTAGAGGCACGTGTGCGGCTGTTCTACCGTTGCCACGTGCTTGGGAAGGAAGGTGACTCAAGAGCGTAGCTTACACATTCGCGAAGAATTCACAACCGTTAGAGCTCGAATACCAGTTCAGCAGTTTAGTATTCAAATACAGTGGACATAAATGGATGTTGGGGGAGATATGGGTTGAGAGCAAACGAGCCTTAGCCTTTAAATGAAGTCACATCCCCCACTCTGTCTACGAGAATCTGCATGTGTTTTGTCTACGCATCCGTAATTGCCGCTGATATACATTATGAAGTCCACCAAATTTTTACATGCCGCTCAGTTAAGAGTTCTTTTCCAGCTAGTTTATGTCCTCCTACACCTGCTGATTTGTCGATGCCGGCGGTCCGCCAATGATCTGGCCATTCGCCCACTAAATTTATGCCAAAAATCAGCACAAGTGGAGCAACTGTCCTCTTCCCTTCCTTGCCAATTCATATACAAGGTCATTTATGTACTAAATTGTCATGTTGGGGTCTTTTTCTTGAATAGAGAATTCGGAAAGTCTTATAGCAGTCGCCTATTAGAGGGGTTATACAAGCAATGTTCTTCAGAAATCCTCTGCGCTTGATAGTGTTCGTATGTCTCGAAAACGACTAGCCTACATAAATTACGCAGATGCTTTCGTAAGTAATTTTGATCTCAATAGTAGTGAAAATGCGATTCCCAGGTGGCATATCAAAGGAAGAATAGGCGTTCACCGGGAGAGATTTATTGGAGGTCCGACGTTTCGAGTAGTTGATTCGTCTACCCATCTTCAGAGACTGGGAAGTCCTGCACACAGATCCCTTGCGCCACTCGGAATAGGTGTTGCCCACAGGCCTGACGCAACAATCCGCCGGAAAGTGAGGCGGCCAAAAGATCCGATCTCTAAGCAGGAGATGTCGGCCGTTGTCTACCGTCTTCAATGCAACTGCGGAAAGTACAACTACGTTGGGGAAACCGGCCGACGACTGCAAACGCGAATACACGAACATAAGTTGGCCGTGCGAAGGTTGGACCCAACTCATGCCGCACAAATGGGACACATCTTCAACTTTGACGCCGTTGAGATTGTTGACCGGGGCGGTGATCATACAGCAAGGCAAGTGCAAGAAGCCTGGGTGTCCACCGACTGCTCTGTCAACCGCCACATCAATTTGCCTCCCCTCTATCTGACTTTACGAACCTTCTTTACGGGGGACATTCACGGCGCGGGACAATCGGGACCTTCAGTCATCTCCGCGTCCGACGGGGGCGATTCACGTCACGGTGACATGCTGGTTGGATACAGCCATACAGGCAGCATTGGCGGGTCACGCAGTGAACAAAGTGCGCCATATAAGGACTTTCCAGTCTCTGAAGATTGGTAGACGAATCAACTACTCGAAATGTCGGACGTCCAATTAACACCTCCCGGTGAACGCCTCTTCTTCCTTTAATTTTGATCTGCTTTGGAGGTACATTTAGAAATTCGTCAAATTTCCTAATTTTTCAGAAAAATGTTAGGATTGATTAGCCTACTGATGTCGGGTTTCACGGATGTTCACACACACATACTTGTTCGCAAAATACTGCATGTCTGGCATTTCTCGAGGATTTGATATCCTTCCTTATTCATTCTCATAAAACAGAACTCGATGTGACAGGATGAGATGATTGCAAATGATCATTTTGTTCGATCATTTTGTTTCAGTCGGTTGTAAGGATCACTGACGGATGCCATAAAAACCTGTGATATTTAATTTTTGTTTGAGCACCATTGAAATCTTAGTTGCAACCGCGGATCTGACGTCACTTCTGCCCGAAATCACGTTTCCGAAGGATGGTTGTCGCTCTAAATTTCAGCGTACACCATAAATTACGACATTTTAAACACGCCTACGTAGCTTCATGCAAAAAGGGTATCATAAACGTGGTCAAGTGGAGATCCTGTAATAAATTACCACGTGAGCTGCTCAACTACGCCCTATGCATGACCCTTTAAAGGCTAGTGTAACTGACCACTAAGTAGGCGTGCTGGTACTGCTTTCAGACCTGCCATGTTAGTGAAATGTGAAACTTCACATAGTACAACGAATGAGGTCAAAGTAATGAAAAAAGAATGGCTTTGTGACGGTGTCAGCTTCTATGACATCAGATTCAACCCTTAACGGTCTATACGGATTTATGCGCGTTGGCGTGCTGTGTGCGAACAGACTATTTGCACACGAAGAATAAGTTCGCGACAGAACATGAGGAGGGCAAAGAACATGCGTCCTTAAATGTTCTTGCGCAGAGAATCGATGCATTCGTAGGGTCAGTGCTAGAAGGAGCAGATTCATTCGCCTTATGAGCTTTACTTTTCTTTGCTGGAAATCAAGTTTAGTTTTTTTGTTTTTTCATATGAGACGTTTCCTCAAAGGCATCTTACAAAGTAAAAAATCCGAAACAGTGCTTAGGAAACGTCGCCATCCAAAGGAAGAGAATGCAACGCAGTTGTCATCTCTGACGAAACTTTTGGGAACTTGCCTCCCATCCAAAATTAATAAAATTTCCAACTCAGTCAATCGAAAGAGATATCTGTGCGACCCAGGCAGCATGCGCCATATATAATCTTATATTCTTAGACTGCAACAATCCTTTCAGTCAGGCATGATAGGGTTGGTTTGCTTGTACACTCCAATGAATATGAATGCAGTCGCGAATGCAGATACAGCGAAGCAGTCAGAACTGGTAAGTAAATCGGCCGGCCGAACACCTGGAAAAGAAGACTATTGTATCAGAGTAGTTCAGTCGCACGCACACTGACCACAGAGTGAATTTAATGTTTTCGCCTAACGTCAAGTTTCGAGAAGGGACGGCCTGTCTCCATTGGGACTCCGGGGCCATGGTAGTTCAGAAGGGTAGATAAGAGCTTCGTAGGTGGACAGATCACTTGATGAGTCCTACACCATTTTCGTAGTGAATTCAGCCACATACCCCGTTTCGGCATCCTCCTTCCTTGCCCTCAGCCCCCGCTGGGCTCGTAACCCTAGGAAACTAGGGTCACATACTACTTATAACTTCACTGCCTTGACTTTTTACCCGACTCCTCCTTAATCCCGCATCTTCCCCTTTCTTCTTCTTCTTCTCGGCTATCGATATTTCTCGGTAGGTTTTCATCATGTTTATGGACTATGAAGCCTAACTTGTCCTATGCTACGTCAAAACAGCATGTATAACGTATATAAATATTCATAAGCAGCTAGGGGGCACGGCGACATCAAATGCTGCTTTCCTCACCCCTTATTCACTGACTGACTAAAATTTCGAAAAGCGATCTATGCGCTAGTAACATGTTTTAGTCGGTCGCAGCTCAGGCAGTTAGAGCGTTGACTGTGAGCAAGCCTCACCTTTTCTGTTGCGAGTTCGAATTTCACCAATGTCGCCGAGTTTGTGACAAGTGGTTCACTTAAGTTAAAAGGAAAGTGCTACCGAAAGTGTTTTAGTCGGCAAGTTCCTCTGATCACTGTTGAAAATGTATCAGTGGACACACGAACTTAATAGCCAAGCTACTTTTACCCAATGCATAATATTGTAAATTGGAGATTCAGACATCTGGAAATGGTTTCTGACGGACCCAAATTGCAATCCTCAGAACTCTGCACCCCATACTCTACCAACTGAGCTATGGCAGGACGCTTGTCTGTTGATTCATTAACCGAAATTCTATACCATTTTTACACCCACAGCTAACCCATTTTTTAATCCGAGTTGCTGTTTACATGACACTGCCGGACAAATTTACAGTTTGTTGGAGAAAGACAGTTGCTGCCGAACAGAATGAAACGATAGATAGGGGCTTTGCCTTGAACTTTGCCAATGCTGAACCTCAATGTAACGAACGGGTAGATCGCTTCCATCGGGCAAAGTAACAAGAATATCGAATATTTTTCGACAAACTGAGGACTTACGCACACAGGACATTTATAACACCGGTGTATGTACGGAAATAGTCCACCACAAGAGTGCCACAGATGTGATAAATCATGGAATGTTATGCGATTCGCAAGAAAATACCTATGATGCAAAATCCACCCACATCGTGTTCCCCAAAATCTTACAGCAGTAGGGGTTGCTGTCTCGTGAAATGTTAACTGAAATTTCAAAATGCGCATTTGGTTCCAGTTTTGTAATAGCAATTCTCGTGCAGCAAGGCATTTCTGTCACGCCAGGGTGCGGTTTTTGAACTAGTTTCTCTCCGATCGCCTGTATAAACTACGCTCTGTAAAAATGACTGCTTAGTGTGTGTAACATCTCTCGTTGATTTCCGATGTCCTTATAAATTGACGCGTCTTCTATAGAAAGCAAACACATAATTATTCGTTGTCCTACTCATTCGGTAGCAAATTTAGTCTTCATCAAACAGGGTTTATGTCCAAGTTTAAAAAGATTTTTCAACTCTCAAAATATTTTGAATCCTACCTGCTGTCACATTTGATTTAGAGTTCCCAAACTACTAGCTATACAGTACGTGGGCTAACTCATGAAATGTTAATAAAAATTCCGAAGCACGGTTTTGTCTCGAAAAGAGTAATTAGGTAGGGTTGCGAAATTAATCATCATACAGCGTAATTCCATAATAATTCAGTTACCTCAGGACGCCGGCTTTCGAAAGAACTTCTTTCCGGCCGCATGCAAAAATTATACTCCGTAAAAAACGACTACTTAATTAGCATGCATTTTTTTCATTGATTCTCGATGCCCTTAAATATTCGATTATATTTAATAGAAATCATGCATAAGAATATTCATTCTCTCGCTCATTCGGTAGAAAATGACGTCTTCTTTCAATTTAATACTTTAAGGTAGGGTATAATTCGGTTTTCAAGGAGCTTATAATTGTGAGATTTTTTAAATACCCTGAAATGGCCTTTCATAAAACGCCATGTTTCTGCATTTACCAATATGATTCGTAAAGTTAACAAGATGGCTCAAACCCACTGTCCATTTTTTTAACTCCGATGTAGTCCCCTCTTAATACCGTAGAGAAATATAAGGATTTCCGTACGCGGGAAGTATACGGCTTGTAGTTGGAAACCCTTGAATGCAAGTGTAACGGCAGGCCGAGTTCAAAATTATTCGGGAATCGAAACGTTTTTTAAAACCGAATTATACCCTACCTTAAAGGATAAAATTGAAAGAAGGCGTCATTTTCTACCGCATGAGCAAGAGAATGAATATTTTTATGCATGTTTTCCATGAAATTTAATTGAATATTTGAGGACATCGCGAATCAATGAGAAAAATTCATACTACATAAGTAGTCGTTGTTTTACAGGATGTACTTTTTGCTTGCAGCTGAGAAGAAGTTCATTCGAAAACAGACATCGTGAGGTAACTGAACTATTATGGAATTACGCTGTATAATGATTACTTTCACAACCCTACTCAATTTATTTTTTCGAAACAAAAACGAATTTCGGAATTTCTGTTGACATTTCATGAGTTAGCCCACATACTGTATATTTTCAGTACATTGAAAATCATACATTTCTACACGCTATTAAGAAGGCATCATGTAGCGCTAACAAAGTTGACAGTGGATGCGAACTGTGCCGTATATTTTACAAGCAGCCTTGGTGCATGTGCAGATACTTGAATGGACACTCCACAGTCTTAAAAGATGTCATAATTTGAAACATTTTTGACAGCGAATGATACATTTTCTCCATATATAAAATACTTAAAGACGCAATTTAATACCAAATAAGTACAATGAGATTTAATGCATATTTTTGACAAAATATATTTGAAGGTATAAGGGCACCAAAAATCGACCAGAGCAGTTCGTGCTAAACAAGTAGTAATTTTTGCGGTTTTTGTGGGCGGTCGAAAAGAAGCTCCGTCGCAAGGCGTCATCTTGGTGTGATTTAGCTAGCGTGGGTTTATGCCGCACGACTGCCACTACTGCAGCATGCCTAGGTAATCTTTTCTAATCGAAGACACATTTTAGGATTTCAGTAAACAATTCGTGAAATAGGACATCTACTGTGTCTATTGATAAACGCGTTTCTCGTCCTAAAGTTCGAAAGTAAAATCAATCAATCCCGTTGGTTAACCATTCCTCTTCAGCATGCAACAGAGAATTCTTTTTATCCGGTCTTTTACTGCGTCAAGCCCTTGCTCTGAACCTTGCTATTTCCCAGTACTAATGTGTTTTGTAATAAAAACAGCTGGTAAGCGGGATCGTAGCATCTAAGCAGCGACTGTAAGCTCAGAGCGCTACAATCATCAAGCCAAATCCCGAGTTGTAGAGAATGGGGTTTAGATGAGATGGTGCCGACAAAGACAAGGCAGACCGGAATGGTCATTTCCGACCTATTAACCGTCATCAGCCAGTCATACCCAA